GGCGGAGGAGGAGGCTTTCTTGCCGCAGGATTCACAGCAGAGCTTGTTGTAACCGGGGATGGAGCAGTAGCGAGCCAGGACCTCCATCTGGCAGAAGATGGACTTGTCCCCGAGGCAAGGCTCCCCTGGAGAGGCACAGGGACAGAGCAGCGTCAGGCAGGGCGAAGGACGAGGGCAGCTCCCACCCCTGCACCCTGCCCATGGTCCCAAAGGACGTGGGGTGCCCCCCTTGCAGGGTACTGCCAAACCTAGAGTCACTCTCTTGCCCCAGGGCAGCAATTTTGGCATGGGAAGGGGGGGGCGAGGGAGTTGGCAGACGAAGCCAAAGCGCTCCGGGTTTCTGTGTATGGGAATAAAAACAGAGAGCAAGGGATGCTCCAAGGCAGCATCTCAAACCAGATGGTGACGCCCCTCACCCCGGGTACCAAGCACCCTAAGAACCCCTTGCTTGGAGCAAGGGGCAAAAGCCAGGAGCCATCTCCCCGCTTGGGTAAACACGGGCAGCTGAAAAAAGCTCCCAGGAAAAAGGTGTCAAATCCAGGAGGCGAAGGGAGCGCAAGGCGGTGCCCAGCCAAAGGCGGGAGGAACTCCAAGATCTGGGATTCCACGAGAGGGCAACCGAGCGGCAGGCGTCGCAGCACAGGCAAACGGCGCACAGTGGCGGAGGGTGGAACTCCCCAAAAATTGGTGCTGGGTGTGCATCCTCCCCCCAAACCCCTCTGCGTTTCCCACTGCAGAAGCCCTCGGGAGGGTTCCATCCCGGGAAGCATGGCCCCTTACCCCGGCAGGGACACTTACTGGAGGAGATCTTGCTCACGGGATTTTTGGGTCCGTCCTGGGGTACCTGCTGCCCTTTGGGCGTGCCGTGGTCGTCAGCACTGGAGGTGACGCCAGAGAGCTTCCCTGTGGAGAGAGCACCGCGATGCCCGGCCGCCACAGGAGGTTGGGGGCACTCAAAATACCTTAGGAGGGTGTTTTGGTGGGGGATTTTTTTGTTTGTTTTAAGGGATCTCCTTAAAAACAAGGTCCCTTGGGGAGCACCCAGTTGGCCCAGCACTTCAACCACCCTAAAAGCCCCAAGATGAACTCCAGGATGCCCATCTCCATCGTACCCTCAACTCATTGCATCCCCAAAGAAAACCCCAAACCATCTACAGCAAAATATCAGAAAAGCGCAACATTTTGGCTGGCGTTCAGCCCTTTCTCTGCCAGCACCAGGGATGTTCGACACAACCTGCTTTGCTGGCATCCCCCCGAAGCAGAGATGGGCTGGAGGCATCTGAGAGGGCTGCTCCCAGCCAGCGTGCCCCCCCT